AAGAGACAGCACAGCAAGGCTTTAAAGCAAGAGCCTATTGCCTGGAAAAGGAAACACTATGATATCCAAAGGCCAAAAATCAGAAAACAGAGACTTTTCATCTTTGGTTGTTTTACAAAATAAGTAAACATGAAATATATGGCTGATTGTTCAGTTTGGGGGTTAGTCCCTATTACCAAAAGCAGCAACAGTAGGGAGGCTAAAGAGCACCACCTACCAGAAAGCAATAACAAGGTCATTGAGCACCTGTAAGAAACTCTAAAGCTCTTATAAGACACACTGAAAACACACACACACACACACACACACACACACACACACACATATAAAATCTCCCTTCAGTCCCCCAAACATTTCATTCTGAGATAGGAAAACAGAATATGTAAATCTCTGGATCATTCTTAAAAGACTTCCACTGGCAAAATGACTAATCTCATAGAAACAGATGTGAATAATCCAACTGACTCACAGAATAATTCTGTTACCACAAAGGACATTCAGCTGAGCATAATGACTCTTTTATTCATGCCCTCAAAGACGTTTTGAGTAACTTTTTTTTTTTTTTTACATACATCTAAGTAGAGCTATTTCATGTTTAACAGGCACAAGATAGGAAAAAGAGAAAGAGGAAAAGTTCATGAAATCAAAAGAAGGGAAGGATGTTGCAGAAGTTAGTACTTACAGGAAAATTGAGTCAAACATTGATTTTAAAAAGAAAATCCATGGTCAAGTGAAAAGAAATGTTTCCTCCAAAATAAACAGAAACCTCCATACTTCCTAGAAACTGGAGCTGAAATGTGATTCTGTATGAGACACTGAATTACTTAAAGAGTCAAATTTCTACCTTTTACGAACTATGTACTGTGCTATTCATTATTTATTAGTATGTTAGGGAAAGATTATGCATATAATTTGGAAGACAAATAATAAGCATAGTACTAATACTGTTTAGATATCACTATTCTTAATTCACAATGAATATGTTTTAATAAAATTCTTGAGTTCTTATTCATCACTTATTATTGTCATAAGCACGAATGCTGTTATAGTTCCTTTAAAATGCCTTACACAGTTCCTGTCACATCACAAGAGTTTGAAAAATATTTGATGGGCAAATGGATAATTCTACAAAGAGACTTATATGAAAAATCACTAGAGAATAGGTACTGCAGTAGATAGATGTCAACTTTGCCTATCTGGTATCTGAATGCCCTTCTGACTGAGGTGGAAAAATCCAAAATACATGAGATGTAGGAACCCGAAAAGAATTCAAAAACTGAAGAGTAGATATTTTCTTTCTCTATTCCCTGAAAGCAAGAACATGGGAAAATGACACAAACCTGGAGTTTTAAATCTTTCAGACAAGCAAAAGGCACAAGGTATAACCAAAATTGTTACCAACAGATAAAGAACCAAGAATTCAAAGGCATGACTACAAACGTCTGAAGGCCATGAAGTCCAGCAGCTTGCTAGTGACTATTTAATGATCAATATCAGAAGAATATTATTCATAAAGTGAAATATAGAAATCTTGGCTGTGCCTTGCTTCCATCAATACTGCCAAGGCTTAATACCCCAATCTTGTCAATTCTGTAAGCTACACAGTATTTATTATTCTTTTATCAAATTTCTATCCTATTTAAGTTGGCCAAAGTTGATTTCTGTTGTTTGTATTAAGAAATTGGTATGGAAGTGTAACTGATGTGATTCTGCAATCTGTATACGGGGTAAAAATGGGAGTTCATAACCCACTTGAATCAAAGTGTGAAATATGATATATCAAGAACTATGTAATGTTTTGAACAACCAACAATAAAAATTAAAAAAATTTAAAAAAGAAATTGGTATGAGGCAACAATTACTAATAGGGCATTATGTAAAATTGTGGATGTATAACTGACGTGATTCTGCAATCTGCATTTGGGGTAAAATTGGGAGTTCATAACCCACTTCAATCTAATGTATGAAATATGATATGTCAAGAGCTTTGTAATGTTGTGAACAACCAATAAAAAAAAGAAAAAAAAACAAATTAATAAAAAATAAAGGTTAAAAAAAATATTAAAAAAAAAGAAAGAAATTGGTATGAGGGAGTGGATTATAGGCAAGAGACCCTCAGGTGATTAAGGGCAACTTGGAACTGGCTTCTGGCCTAGAAAGGGCTACTAGTGTTCATGGGAAGACCTTCTGCAAGTCCTTGACATGGAGTAGTAAAATAACTAATTATCATCTGTGGCCATGTGCATGAGACTGATAAAGTGCTGCCAAGAATGAAGGGCATAAAGAATTTAAGACTATGAGGCACAGCACCTGCCATTCCATGGGTACGAGATAGTTTAAATAAAAAAAAATAAGGTCAAATCCCTATAAATTAGGCCTAAGGCACAGACTAAAACCTGGGTAGTATTAAGAAAAGGATCCTTTTTCTCTTATAACAGAGTTGAAGCTGTCATAAAAAAAAAATGCACAAAGTCTGATGCTCCAAGTTACTGATTCAAATCAGTTAAATCCACATTGAGACTCTTATATGAAAGTTGGAACATTGAGCATTAGTTAGAAAAGAGAAAAGAGAGAGAACTGAAATGGAGGTACATGGGAAGATTATTACTTGGGAGTACCCTGAATCCTCATTTAGGTCTTCTTGCTAGCAGGGTAGCCACCCTCTTTTGTCTGATGAAGCTGTACCTCTCTTGCTTGAAAAAGTAGTAAAATTCCCTGTGTGAAGGAATTCCATTGCAAAAGTAAACAAATTCCCTATTTGTTTCACTGTTCCTCACATATATTCTGCTTCCCTAACATCAGATAACAGCAKGTTCTATGGGGTTAATTATAAAAACACCAAAAGAATTACAAGACATTGGCTATTTATATGGTCAAACACACTGGAAATAAGTACAGAAGTGGATTCTGAGTGATTTAGACTAGCAAGGAAAAGCAATTTTAGTTCTACCTGTTTGTTGAGATTCTGAATGCAAAAGTTAAACTTTTAGTAGTTGAGGTATTAGATGATCAAAATCAGACTCAATGATGTTCTATGCTAAAGGAAATTGAGATACCTATTATAATTTAGGTCCAGAATATTCCCCAAAGACTCATGTGTTAAAGGCTTGGTCTCCAGCTGGTGGTACTACTGGGAAGTGATAGACACTTTAGAAGGTGGGGCCTAGTTGGAGAAGTAGGTCTCTAGGGGAGTGTCCTTGAAGGGTATATTTTGTATCTGTCCCCTTCCTCTAATTCTTTGCTTCCCAGCACCATGAAGTGAATGGTTTTGTTCCATCCATGTACTCTCTGCTGTGATCGTCTGCCTCAGAGGAGCTCCAGACACAATGTAAAATAAATATTTTCATCCTAACTATTTTCTCACAGCAACRGAAAGCTAATTAATACACTGCCTAAGCCTCATTCTTAATTCTGCCTAATAATTCTTTCAGTTTACTAATTAATATCCAATATCCTTTCAATAAAATTTTCTCTAGATTAAAGTTAATCAAACRTGGTTTCTATGACTTGCATTCAAGAATACCAACTAGTATAGAGGCATAAATGCACTTCAGGATAATTACACTATCAGGAACGAAAACAATTCTCTTTTTATATCTTTATTATAACAGACTGGAAGTTAAAAAACTATAAGGACTAATGCTCAAAGCCAGAATACTATTTCTTCCATTAATATCTTAGGATGAACCAAATTCAACTATAGATGTTAGACCATTTTTTAACCTAATTTTTTTCACATGGTTTAATATGCTGACATTGCATTGAAAGATACAGTAATGCAGGACAACTGCACTCTGCGGTTTCCCTATTGTATTACATTCCTTTTTATCCATACATATTTCCTAGTACATGGCTGTGCTGTTAATCTTTAAAAGTTTCCTTTAAGATTTTTACTTAATTTGTCTAATTCTTTTCAATGTTTAGACTTTAAAACACTATTAATAATATCACAAAATCTTTTTACACAGAACTGGCTGAGCCTTACAGAAATATCAATCCCCTTAAAACCTCTATAAATAAAATATTTTTATTCAACATATCTGTTTGGGGAATAAACAGATATGTTGAATAAAAATGAATGAGAATCACAGATGTTTGTAGCCAGAAGGTCCAATTAATTTGACTCATATTCAGCCCTAAATTCTATACAGTTAGTCTGAAACTCCTCTTGTCAAATAGGTATTCATATTAAAGTCATTAAGAAAAGTAAGTAACTTTTTTTAATAACCRATTTTTGTTACCAAGACCTAGAAACTTATTTTTGAAGATATTTTTTCCTAGATATTTGCTTATATCACATCTGCTATACTGTCTTTTACCTGAACAGAGTATTAAAAGTAGTTCTTCACCAAACAATAGATATCATCTCTTTATACACTTGACAGTATTCACTAATGTAGCCCTMAGCATTTCTTTTCATTTCTCTTCAACCATCCTAATTCCTTTAATATTTCCTTAAGAGTCTATTTTCCAGTCCTTTTCTTATATTCCATGAAGCTACTATACATCTGCCAAATCTTCTAGACTGCGTAACTTAGTATATCCTACAAACAAATGAAATATAAATGAAGAGATCAATTTTGGTGTAGGTGAAAATGTGCCCCTGTATTAAACCCTGATGCAGAGGAATAAAGGCATGCAGGGTAATTATACCATCAGGGACAGAAAACAATTCTCTATGTATTTCTTCTTCTTGCAACAGACTGGAAGTACGGAGTAGGAACCAATGAATTTGTCAAATGCTTACCCAATCATCCTTATCACATATGCAAGGCTAAAACAAATATACTGTACAAATGAGATAAAACTGGTTTTTGCTTTTATGTTTCTTCCTCTTTAAAAAAACAAAAAAACAACAACAACAACAAAAAAAAAAAAAAACATCACTGAAGTACTTTAAGAAGTCAATCACAAATTATCTGATTTTGCCCTAAAACAATAGTTCTTAAGTTGCTCAACCTCTTAAGTGTTTTACTATCCTGATTAGAGCCCCTTTTTACCTGAATGGCACTTCTTCCTGTGGAACATCCACATAGTAACGAATAAAAAATCTCTCAGAGTCTTCTCGTTCACCATCAGTAACAACACTGCCATTAAGTTTGGAAACTGATGGCAATCTGTAAGTGAAAACCAAAAAGACATTTTAAGACACTAAAAACAKTTAGCTTTAGAAATAAAATAATTGGTATGAGGCCCAGTCTCATTCTTTTAAAAGGACACATTTGGTGTAGTTTTGCTTGTATGTAAATACCAACATAAACTAAAGTCATAAAAAAGGGCCAAAAAAATCTGGTCTGATTTTTGGATGAGATATTAACCTTTCATAATCCTACCTCATCTTTCAAGTAAGACTTTAGGGAACACTGTCCAATTTAAACCACATATGTCATTTTCAATTCTCTAGTAGCCACATTTTTTTAAGTAGAGATAAAATAGGTGTAATTAATTTTAATAGTATATTTTATTGATCCAACATATCCAGAATACAATCACTTCAACATGTACTCAAGGTTACAAAATAATTAATGAGCTATTTTATATTCTTTTWTTCATATAGATTATTTGAAATCCAGTATCTATTTTACACCTATAACACTCTTTGTGTTAATATGGCAGCCACTTGCCATGTGTGTCTGTGAATACTTGAAATATGTCTGTCTGAATTTTACACCTATAGGTGTAAAATTTTACACCACATTAAATAGTGCTGGTCTGGAGAAGAGTTAGTACAATATGGCTATATAATTCAGGAATTAATTCATTATATTTTCAAAAGATTGCATAAAGAAAATAAAGCATAGAGTCTTCTTCAAGACTTGCTCCTCTTTAAAGAAAAATACGCTGACATTTCTTTCTTCAGAAGATACTAATATGTATGTTAAAAACTGTAAAGCAGGAGGTTCTGTGGGGCATTAGTCGGTCAGAAAGATCAATATCCTGTTTAAAGAACCACTCTTCTTTAGGGAACCTTAAAGCCTACTGTTTCTCTTTCAAAACTACCATGTGCAGTGCACAAAGAGAATAAAGAAATCTCCATGGCCCCTTCCATTTCAGCCAAAATTTTATTTCTTCTGAAGGTTCATAAAAAAAATACACACTTGTGGGAAATTCCAGTAGTCTTTGAGGCAGTGTCTGAGACAAGAAATGCAGGGGAGTCAGAGGAAGAAGATAATAATGATGGTAATCATACTTACGTAAATATATATTCAAGAAGAAAATACAGCTGCTGCTGAATAGCTCAATTTCCAGGTATTTGCACTTTAAGTAACCACTAGGTTAACAGAGAAAATGAGGACAACTACAATAGAAATGATTCCCCATCATACAGACTTTTACTTTGTGACCCAAAAGAGGACTTCAAATATTCTAGTATTGAAAAGCATAAAAATAGAAAGATTTGTGAGGAAATTTTTCAGTGGCCTCAGCAGGACAACTGCATTCCGTGGTTTCTCCATTGTATTACATCCCTTTTTATCCAAGACTGGAAGCTACAGAAGCAGCTCCTTTAGGCACAGTCTGCTCAAGAGACAGATAAATTCACAGGGCACTATCCCCAATTAGTGCACCATCTCTTTAATGAAACAATAAGGCCCTGTGAAAAGAAGGCAAAAGAAATCAGGACAACAGACCTGGCTATTACCAATTTCCTGCGCTCCTCGGTGGTATATGGCTGCAGAAGAGGAATTCCTAACAATCTCACTTCTTCAAGTTTGGGGAATGAATTTAGTTTGTCTATGTCTTCCCAAGACTGCAAACCTAATTCAAGAAAGATATTGTTTAAGTTAATCCAGAAAAGAACACAAATAAGAAGCTAAAGATAAAAAGAAAGCATCTCTATTAATAATTTCTGAAATGTTAAGAACATCATAAATTAGAAAGCCTGCAATTTTTCCCTATCCAATACAGTAAGATACCATAAAAATTTCGCCAGTCTTTGTGATCTCAGTGGTCAAGGACTGACCGCCCTGTTCTTCAACATCCTTTTGTCTTCTGATTCTATCAAAATGGCTTATATAATCAGGGTCACAGGTAATTTCAATAAACAGGATGCATGCCATGATTACATAATTTTTTTAAAAACTGACATTACCAACTCATTTTACTTTACAGATTCATGGATCAGAAGTAATGTTGTCATTCTMACTTTTTTACCTGAAAAATTCTGAAAATGGGATAAGGTCAAAAAAATGGAAACTAAAGGGGAAATAGATAGAACACATTATTAAACAAATAAACAAACAAACAAACAAAAAAGGCAAGAAACCTGAATCTATGAATATGGAGAACATGTAACACATTAAGATTTTTTAGTCCTAAAATGAAACTGCCTCTTTCGTTGAGGGCAAATGTATCGTCCAAGATAATATTTGATTTCCAAGTCAGGCAGGACTTCCAAATAGAAAAAATATTCCTGTGATAATGAAGTGGTCAATTTTACAACACAGGTTAATCATTTCAGAGAACAAAAAAGTCCCTTCCTATTTCTGATGACCATCTGTAAAGGTAAAGACAGAGGAATAACTTAGGAGGACTCTGGAACAAACTATCACAAGTCACAACTGTCCTCTTCACTGATAATGGCATTTCCACCCAGACGGAAGAATAGAGTTAGATCAAGGTGTGTCGAACTGTAAAGTGAATAGCTTCCTTGTACAAAATACTGGCCATTCAAGTTTATTTCTTATCCAGTACCTACATGGTGAATTGAAATAAGTTTTTGGGTTTTTTTTGTTGTTGTTGTTGTATTATAGGTTAGTTGTTTAAGAAATAGGGTGAAAAATAATGTCATAAGAATAAGAAGAGAAGTCAGATTGGGAGGAYTTTTTTTTTTTTTTCAAAAGACACTTCCGATAAAGGACTGCTAGACAAAATATATAAAGAATTCAACAGTAAGAAAATGAAAAACCCAACTAAAAATGCATAAAATACCTAAAAAGATGACAAGTAAGAATATGAAAATATGTTCACTATCATGTCATTAAGAGGATTTCAAATTAAAACAATGAGATACCACAGTACACGTGTTACAATGGTCAAAATTCAGAACACTGACAATACCAAACATTGGCAAGATATACAGCAAAGGGAACTCTCATTCATTGCCAGAGGGAATACAAAATGACATAGCCACTTTGGAAGACAGTTTGGCAGATTTTTTTTAGAACTAAATGTACTCTTACCATATGATCCAGCAATCATGCCCTTAGTATTTTCCCAAACAAGTAGAAAACTTATGTCACACAAAAACCTGCACATACATATTTAAAGTAGCTTTCCTTTAACTGTCAAAACTCAAAAGCAACCAAGATATCCTTCAGAAGATGATAGATAAACTGAGGTACATCAGAAAATAGAGTAYTATTCAACAATAAAAAGAAATGAGCTATCAAGTCATGAAAACACATGAAGGATTTAAATGCATATTACTAAGACCAAGAAGTGAATCTAAAAAAGGCTACTACTGCATGATTACAAATATATGACCCTCTAGAAATGGCAAAATGCTGGAGATAGTAAGAAGATCAATTTTCCAGAGTTAGGGGTTATAAATAGAGCAGAGGGAATTTAAGGCAGTGAAACTGTTCAGTAAAATACACAATGGTAGATATGTGTTATTATACATTTGTATAATAATATACACCAAGAGTGAACCCTAATGCCAACTATGGATTTAGATAATGATGTATCAGTGTAAGTTCACTGACTGAAATACTACAAATTAATACTTTGGTGTTCGATGTTGAGAGTGAGCAAGATTATGAGTATGTGGGAACTCTGTCATTTTCTATCAATTTTGCTGTGAATCTAAAATTGTTCATAAAAATTAAGTTTATTAATTAAAAAAGAAGTAGGCTAGGGCTGCGGTTCTAGCGCGGTGGAGGAGCACCTGCCTAGCATTCGTGAGGCACTGGGTTCGGTCCTCAGCCCTACATAAAAGTAAATAAATAAAATAAAGGTATTGTGTCCATCTACAACTAAAAAATATTTTTTAAAAAAGATAGGCTAAATATATCCATTTCTATAATATATAGGATCCAATAGTAATACACAGACAATTATAGATCATAAGAAAGGGAGCATTTGAAAAGGCATAGTAGGTAAAATTCCATACCCTAAGCCCAAATAAATGATCTAGTTTATAATTCTTTTTACTCAGTCTTTTACTAACCAATTCATCAATTTTATTTCACCCCTTTCATAGCATGACCTCTTTAATGTATAAAATATAAATTACTAATATAATGCTAGGCCACTTAATAGTTACCAGAACATTTATGAAAATGAATGYCTTAAATTTAGTCAATCAACAGGCAACCTGCATGTCATGTTGAAAATTCATCCTATAAAAAAGTAGAGCTATGACTGAAAAAAATATACTTTCATTGCATTTTATGCATAAGCTCAGATCAATTTGCATATAGAATGAGAACAAGCCTGTACCTCACCTGACTTGTGGAGGCTGATGGATCGAAGATTAGGAAACAACCTGGCCAATGAATCATCGGGCTCCTCAATAGCATTCAAATGATTGTTGGCCAGGACAAGGGTATCCAGTGATGGAAACATCACTCCCAACTTGCGTATTTCAGTCCAGTCTTGGAGGTTATTGTCTGTTATATGTAGGAGCTTAAGAGAATGACAGCAAATAGAAGAACAAGACACTGTTTCATAGTCATTAAGGCACAGGAAGAGCTCCTCCAAACTGCAAAGAGAAAAGGAAATATTTCATTGTTTAAAGCAATTTCATTTCTACCTTATGCCTATTTTTATTCATTCAAAAAATAAATGAGTGCCTAGTACATGTGATACTCTGGTAGTTATAATAGAAAAAATACAAAGATGTCTTCTTGAAGCTCAATACCCTGTATAGCTAGGAAGACAAAACCTAAAGTATGTAAAACAGAATGATATAAGCTAGTACCAAGTTAATTTTGTGCTTAAAAAATTAAATGCTAAATTAAGCAGCACTAATTGCATAGAGATTGATACAGAAATGAAGTTGAAATTTTAGTTGGAATAACCAGGGAAGAATGTATGGCCTTGAAAGAGAGGTGGACTTGTATAAGTTTACAGGAGATAAAAGGAAATTCCAAAAACAACATAAAAATATTTAAAATTGAAAATGATAACAACTATTGAATCTCTGTCCTGTATCAGGCCCTGTATCAGGAACATTATAGATTTTATTTCATTTCTKTTTCTGTAAGGTAAAAATAATTATACCCACTTTACAGACCAGGAAACTGAGCTCAACAAAGTTAAGTAGCCTATCAAAGATCACCTGATTATTAAGTGGAATGGGATTTAAAAGCTCATTCAGTACCWCGCTGGAAGATGGATGCAGTGAGGAAACCAATCTCATTAGAATGACAATGACAAACAGTAAGTAGTATGAGATTCTGAAGGGCTTTGATAACTTCCATATTTAGCCAAAGAAACTATTTCTTTACTACATCTTTTGCAGACTTATAAGCATAAACAAAGATAGACACAAACAAAAAATAAAACATTTCTAAACTGACAAACAAAAGTATAATTTCTTTCTTAAATTTTTGAAAAGAATAGCAGGTCAATTTCTCATCATTTAATYATCTAAATGCTAATGTATTTTCTATGGTTTTCTTTTTCCTCCCAACAMAAAGGACTAAGGCAAATTTTTTTAAATCGGGTAATCAGAAGATTAAAATGGAGAAAGGCTGAGCTGATTTAGAAGTGATAAGTGCTTCTCAGGGGTATTTTCTAGCCAAAGGATGACATATCCCATGTCTTGGTGCTATTCAACACTGAACAAGTATTCAACTGGAAATGCTACCAGATTACCCTCACACCCTTTTCTAATTACTTAATTTTTCTAACCTCTTTCTCCATTCAATCTACAGATCTAGTATTTCTGAGACAGGAGATCAGCAGTAATTCTATGTACTAACACAGATGGAAACATAGCTCCCTGTCCACCATGSTCTCAGGTCTTACTCTGGTAACTCCTGTAGGATTGTGTGGACTGTCTCCCATGAAGCTTTGCTGTTGTTGAGGACAAGTTTGCGAACCCCAGAGAAGGACCCAGCACATGTTCTTTCTAAAACTGACAAATTCAGAGGGTTGGAACTCAGGTTTAGAAACTCCAACTGGGGAACATTTGACACAATTTTACTGACCTAGAGAAAGAGAAAAAAAGAAAGGCATATCAGGTGGTAATCAGAGCTTTTAAACAGCAATCACACTCAAGAAGGCCTAAATGAGAGGGTCCCCAGGCAAAGGGCCATTTACCTCAGGGATCCTACTTAGTGATGGTACCCACAGAGCAGCATAAGTGATTTCAACAAATCTTGGCAAACAATTTAATCTCATCCTATGAAATAGTAGCCTACACACACAATGGCACAAAACAAAGATTTCCTATGTTGCCATTAGCAAGGTCTCTGACTCTGTTCTATAATGATATACTCTTTGAGAAAAAAAGATAAAAAGATAGTTTAGATGACATTCTAGGCCATAAATTTTTAAAGAGTTGAGAATGGATCATGCAATTGTCTTTGAATATCTTCTTTCTCTCATCCTCAGCACAACATTAAGGCTAATTAAAGGTTTCTTTAAAACCAACTGGTAACAATTCATGTGTTCAAAATTGACTGCACAGTCACAATCACTTAGAAAAGTTTCATTTTGGCTGAAAGATGTACCAAACTGTACTTAAAAGTCAAAAGAATCCATAACTGTATAGTAAAAGAGAAAGCACAGTCATCACTGTAATGATTTAGCTAGCAACCTGGTAGCTAAGAAGGGGAAAAAAGCAAATGACATAACTTTTTGCTCCTCACAATATTAATATCTTTGATATGGTTTATTTCATAATATTCTCAGAAGAACTTACAAGACTACTTTCATTCTGATAAATGAGGAAACAGAGGCTCATAGACATTAAATAACTTGACTAAGTCCCAAATATCATATTTGGAATTCAAAAATCAGAAACAATATTTTTTCAATAGACCACAACTAACATATCACAAATAAAACCAGAAAAAAAAAATGATCTGACAATAGAAGAGTAGGTGGCACAATCAATGCAAAGGACTGGCTTAAACAAGCAGGAAATAAATGTTAAATGCCCAGTAAGTGTATTAAGCATTAAACAGCCAGGCAGCGTGGATCTAAAAGTTACGAAAAAGGGAATAGGAAACAGTAGTTAGGATTAGTTTTTTGTTTGTTTGTTTTAATATTTATTTTTTAGTTGTAGTTGGACACAATACCTTTATTTTATTCATATATTTTTATGTGGTGCTGAGGATCGAACCCAAGGTCTTGCGTGTGCAAGGCGAGCACTCACTCTACTGCTGAGCCACCAGCTACCAACAATTCCTAGCTGTGTGATTTCAGATAAATTACTTAACCTTTCCAAATCTGTTTCCTCATTCATAAAATGAGGAAAACAGTACCCTTCTATGTTATAGAATACTGATAACATTAAATGAGATACATGTGTCAGCACAGCAAYTGGCATATCTTTTTGAAACTAAATCACATGCAAATTGTATAAAAGCAGAGACAGCAAGGCACTTAACATTTACCAAATAAACTAGTAACACAAAATCATTCAATAAATGTAACTAATACTAATATGATAAGAATAGTATGAACCAGTATCTCAACCTTGTTGAGCCATCAGAATCATTGGTAGAATTTTTAAAATACACAGATTCCCAGTTTCCACCATGAACACTGAATAAGAAGGTTCATAGAGGGGACCAGCTGCAGGGTTGGAACCTGAATATGTTTCCTTTCAGAACTCATGGAGGTAGTACTAAAAGTATATAAAAAGTAGAGAACCATGGGAGAAAGAAAAAATAATCTGTACTTTACAATAGATCAACTGTGTATTTTCAAGGAGCTCTAAAATCAGTGAGAGTAGATTAACTCCAAGAAAATTCAGAGAAGTCAGAGGGAAAGTTCCTCATGAATTTCACTATTTCATCTATTCCCCACAGTAACCCTTTGAAGTGAGTGCCACTTTTGTTCTCATTTTTCAAACAAAGAAATGAGCTGCCTTTTAGAGAAAATACACTAGGCTTCTGTTTAAAGTGTAAGGAATTTATACCAACCACACATATTTTCTTGTTTGGTCCCTTTTGTAATCAAATGGTACCAAACATCTGTGCAACAGATGGCCAGAATTTGGAGTTTAGTCTGTGACTATAACACAGTTAAAAAGTTCATTCAGGGACCAACCCTTTACTATATTCTATGACTTCAATATTAACAATATGAAAGATTTTCATAAAAAAGATGATGGCCAGCCATACTTCTTTTAAAGCTAAAAAAGTGGAAATTGCTTTAAAGCATTTAAAACATGAAGAAAACCCACTAATTATAGTACAAATCTAGTTAAATAGAAATAAAACATAAGCCCTACGCTAAACATCCTCATATAATATTTTATTTTTTAACAAAGAGGAAAATAGTAAAAAATGGATAACTTAAGGGTTTTAAAGCAATTTCTTGGGGAGGTTTCCCAAAACTAATAGATATGTGATATAATCTTCACAGTCTGTCTACACTACTGCACAGTGAGAATGCAGATTTAGGATAATGACTTGTATATCCTAAAAATATAAAATTGGACTAGGATCTCATAATTCAAGCAGGAAAATAATGTATGATAGAAATAAATATCTTCTCTTTAAAGGGCAGAAATGAAAAAGTTCTTTGGGGTTACCTCAAATCAATGATAAGATTCAGGAAACTATAATATTCATCATACAGATAAATGTACTATGATGGAAAATTTCCTAGTAGCAAAGGCTGACAAATATTTTGTTGAGTTTCTAGAGCAGTATATTAACTTCTCTTTTTTAAATTCTAAAAATAAAAATGATTCCTCCAGTTGGAATAAGGTGAGTCTGCTTATTTGCAGAAACATGGAAATGAACTTAGATCACCCCTTAATCCTCCACGGTCCCGTGACTTAATAGGGGATCCTCCACTGTGGCATATAAAAAGGAAGAAACTAAAGATTTAAGAAAAATGAAGAAAGGGCTTTAAGATAACAATCTGTAATTTATACCCAAGCTATTCACTACTTCACCTGACTAGCTAATCCCTCCCTCCTCTTAACTACTTGGTTTAATTTCTTTTATAAAATGGTTTTGATAAGGAAAAGAGAAAAAAAAAGGAGATACCTTGGGAAATGTCAGACAAAATTCTAGTCAGCCCAAAATTAAAGTCAATCACTAAAAATGCATTTTTTATATACCTAAGTGCCCAATTTTAGAAGGGTGGTGGCAAATCTTTTCTTCCTCCAAAAGTATTACATTTCTCACTTGTTTTCACTTTAGCCTTTGGATCTATAGCAGCCAACAGTTTAAACTACAAAAGAAGTTACTTGTAACATTAGTGACCATTCAGAAACTGAAAGAACCTACTACATTATTTTGTTCCACATTGCTCTATCAATACTGGCTGAGGTGAACTTAGTTAATGGCTAGGGACAAATGATCTTTCTGGTAATCAGACATATAGATTGTAATGGGGTTGAAATGTAATGTCTTAAAAACAGTGACCTATGAGGTCTCTGTAGCCTGGCAAAGAGTTTAATCAAGGCTAAAAATCAATACTGCTTTACTCTCAGTATTTCTTCCATCTCTTTGAGCTGTACATACTCTAAAGATTGGATCAACTACAGTTAAAAATAAGGAGGAAATATAAAGGAATAATGAAAACAAAAATAAACTGGAAAATGGAAAGTTGAAAACAGCAGCAACAAACATCACTTAAAAATTGCCTAAAGATGGACTACTGAGCACATATAGGAATGTAAAAACTGAGTGCAGAGTGCAAATAAATAGCTGAGCCTCTGGCTATAGATCAATGTGACCTGAGGAATATTTAATACAGATTTTTATCTAAGCAAAGGAAAGGCTGAATTGCTTAGTATGAGCTCTAATCCATATTATATACATCTTCCCTCTGARGTGGCAACTATACCATTATTAAACTGTTCTTACTAGTGAGCAAAAGCTCATGTACATAATCACAGTGCAGGCCAAAACACAAAGCACAAAGCCTGTGAAATTTTACTCCCAAAGAAACAAGTTTAGAGATTCGGCAAGGACCATAGCAGCTGAACTGATTCACAAGAAGATTTGGTCTGACTTGTCACCAACACAGACCACAAATCTTACCAGTACAGAACTTAGGAGAATCACAGAGGAGGATTAACAAGCTCATTCTTATTGTATTTGTGCAGTGTGGACAGAGCATGCATGGCAATTTGGTATCTCAAAGGACTCAGAAGGCACAGATAACAATTAGTCCAATAGTGAACTATACTAGTTGTTTAGATAAGTGCATAAATAAAAGCACAAACAGGGAATTTTTTTTGAACAAATAAATGTACAACTCGAAAAAAATTCTTAGAATAGTCCTATAATCTGTTTATATTAATAAATCACTTAGAAGTCAGGTGAAACATACCCAAAGAATTTTAGTAAAAATCTAATAAAAGCAGAAAATATAACCAAGAGTAGTTACTAGATTAACAAGATTATGAAATAGATTGAACAAACTAGGTTACAGACAGATTTTTTGCTTAAACAAGAAAGCCATCTTAGGATTTGTATAGCATTCAATATTTACAAAGTGCTTCAATTATTAATCTTATCAGCAAGTCTGGTTGAGCAGACTGAGCATTAACATTTTCGGGGAATTTCTCGAGATTACAGGAAAAGTTAGAGCAAGTGGTTTTGATCAATCCTTAAGATATAATCATTTATTCATTAACACATTCAACAAACTTTTTGGCCACTTARTATGCTGGGTGCTGACAATAAAAAAGATAAAAACCTCCACTTGAAATAAGCTCACAGTCTAGTAGGAAAACAGGTAAGCAAGAGATTACTCTATGCTGTGATAAATCCTTTCACAGCAGTATAGTAAAGTGCTCTGGAATCATAGGACTGTAGCTGAGAGAAACCAYGGAAAATTTCCACAGAGGAACAGCAACTTGGGTCAAGTCTTAAAGGAAAAATAGAAGTGGCCAGGGAGACAAGAGGTAAAAGAGCACAGTCAGTTCAGAAGGAATAGAAGCAAGGAAGTTTTTCACATCAWGAACTTATCATGGGCTGTAAAAAGTATATGGCTAAAATGGGGATAAATTTTCAAACACTACAAAGGGCCATATGATGAAGGGCCATGCTGAATGAGTTCAGACCCTGTGGTTTCAAAGCATCAAAAAGCATGTAATGGACTTCATGCAATAGTGTCATATCATTATTCATATACTGAAAGGAGTCTGTGGTGGCACTATGGAAAAATAGAGCATACAACCAGACCCAGGAAAACCCATTAGCAAACTTCTCCAGTAGTCAAAGCAAAATACAAGAGCCTAAATTAAAGCAGGAAAATGAACTAAGTAGGAAGAATTGTTTTTCCCTTATTCTTCAAGGTACCCTCATCAGGAATGTTACAATCAGGTGAGTGATGTTATCTACAATAATAAGACAATGTTATCTATTATTTGTGTACTTAATTTAGAATTACTCTGAGGTCTAAAGACATGTTGTCTTAAACTGTCAGAGGATCATGATAATATAACAGAAGTTCTAAAATATTTAAAATAAATTTCAATAACAAGAATTAATATTTTATAATATTGATTTCAATTTTTTCCCCCGAGGTAGTGGGAATTAAACCCAGGGACACTCTACCATGGAGCTTCATCCCCAGCTCTTTTAATTTATTTATTTACCTTTTTTTTTTTTTATACCAGAGATTGAACTGAGGGCATTTAACCACAGAGATATATCCCAGTCCTTTTTACATTTTATTTTGAGATAGGGTCCCACTATGTTGCTAAGGGTCCCACTAAGTTATCAAGGCTGGCCCTGAACTTGTGATCTTCCTGCTCAGCCAACTGAGTATGTGGACTTACAGGCACATGTCACCAACACCCAGCTCAAGTTCTAGCAATTTTATGTCAATTTATAGTAATGAAAATTGAAGTAGAAGTAGAGAATAAGTGTAGGATGTGTAAACTAGGGAAACAAAAATTTAATGCATTGTAAGCAGTATAGATCTCTGTAGACTCACTAACCTCTTGATGCCTGGAATAAAGAGTTCCTCAGTGCTTTTCACATTGATGAAAAAAAAGTTAGCAGTAACAAAACTAACTGTGAAATCATCATAAGTAGTTAATACAGTCAATTATTTATCTTGAAACATATAGACAAGAATCCCAGTGAGAACCAGAATTCAGCAGAACACATTACAACATAAATAATAATACAACAGCCATTACTGCCAAAACTCAGCATTATAAAAATTTTACCTCATGCCAGTCTTCGAGTTTGTTGTCAGAAAGATCTAGTTCCGACACATGAGCACAGAAGGCAGCAATTTCTCTTTCATCTCCTGCACAGGTTATTCCACAGCTGTTCAACACTAGTACACTTGGGAGGTTGAGGCGATCTGAATCACAGGGGACACAAAAGACTTTCTACATCAGCCTAACTTTTGTCTACATATGTTCAGCTCTCAGGAACCATCAAGAAACAAAAATCAAACTGTGTGAAATTACAAAAGGTCCCAGAAAATACAGGATGTTAACAGGCTCCAAGGATCCTGAATTCTAAGGGGAGGTAGCTAACTATGGCCCAGAAGAAGTTCAAAAGCACAGAACCAGTACCTCCAAAATTCTTCCAGGCTTTAACTCTGGTAGGGCTCTTCATCCTAATTACCACAACAGAGCCAATATCCACACTATTATCTTATCATCTGAACACCAGAAGAAATGCATGCCTGGACTGTCACCACCTTCTTGCTGGCCTTAATTCTTTTCTCCTGTTAATTTAGTCCAAAAGTATTCAGGGTAACTCTTTTCTCTCTGACTGATGTGAATCTTTACCTTTTGCTGCCTGTAAAAATTACCTCAAACTGTTAGATAATCAACCTAGTAAACAACTTCTTTCTTCAAGTTCATATCACTGAAGGAATCTTCCTCACTTAAGCAGATCCTTTCAAAACTCTACATCTGGTTCTTTTCATACTTGTCTACCAATTATACCCATTTCATATCCATGTAGAATTTGTCCCTTTTGAAAATTAACCTTCTTTTAAATTATAATTGCAATGAGAGAAAGTGTTTCAGAATCTGAAATATTTAATGAATTTGGTCAAACTCTGAGTACTACCTGGCTTAAAAATACATATGTCAATAAAATCACTCTTACTATATCTACTAAAAGGGGAAAACGTGAATTCGACCACTCTTTTTCCACTTGGTAAAAAAGAAGATCTCATAAAGTTTATGCTTTATTAATGGTGGCTTCAAATTACATGGTTTTCCAACTTAGTATTTTTCAGTATCAAATTTCTCAGAATGGGAATGGATCCCAGAAAAAAAAAAAAAAAAGGTCAAGTATGAAGTCCATGCCTCTCTACCATTCCAGGTCACATGCTGTGATAAAACTGTATTGAGAAATAACAAACACTTGGTAACCTCTAAACACAAGAACTAAAACAACAATTTACTATTAATCCCTCTTAATTACGAAGAACTATTTCCAAGATCTGTTAAATACAACATTAAGCTGAAAGGCAAGCAAAAATGTACCTTGCACATTTCTAGTTATAGAATTTAGCTCATACCTAATCCTTCCCCTAGAAGGTCTTTATCAGCTGTATAACTAAATTCTACATTCCTGAAGACTAATTCAAGTCTCACAGCTTTGAACCCTTCCTGGATATTAATTTTAATTCCAAATTTCCTTCCCAATCACTGTGTCATTYCTCTGGCTCAACATAAACTAGCTTGTGTTATCTTTGTAAATGTGACTGCCTTGTCCAGTTAMGCTGTTAAGCTCTTTGAGGGCACAGGACAATCATGCACTATTTGTACCCTCCAGGATCCTTGAAACAACATGCATTTGAAATATTATCACCGTGAGGATGAGAGGGGGCAAGAATAGAAGTTCAGGGGCTGGGGATGTGGCTCAAGCGGTAGTGCGCTCGCCTGGCATGCGTGCGGCCCGGGTTCGATCCTCGGCACCACATACAAACAAAGATGTTGTGCCCGCCGAAAAACTAAAAAAAAAATAAATATTAAAAAAAAATTCTCTCTCTCTCTCTCTCACTCTCTCTCTCAGGCTCTCTCTTTAAAAAAAAAAAGAATAGAAGTTCAGTAGATTAGACAAAGGGGAATGAAGGGAAGGAAGTGGGGACAGGGATAGGAAAGACAGTGGGATGACTCTAATATAACTTTCCTATGTACATATATGAACACACTACAGTGAATCGCCACATCACATACAACCACAAAAATGGAATTCTAATTAGAAGAAGATATATTCCATGTTTGTATAAATATGTCATAATACACTCTACTGCCATAAATAAATAAATAAATAAATAAATAAATGATTTTGGGGCAAAAAAAGAGAAATATTACCACTTGAACATTATTCTTGCCCTTTAAGTACAACTACAACTCCTCGTGGACAATCTGGAGGAAAATAAGTACTGAGGTTCTTTAAAATCTGAGACCAAAATAAGAGGGAAAGATTATTTGATTCATCATTTTAAGTAAAGAAAATAATTTGTAAACAAGGTAATTCTGTGAACTGACTTCCTAAGTAAGCTCCAATAAATGAATGTGTAGGTCTCATCTTTCTTACCTTTCATAGGAGAGCCCTGAGGTGTGGCTGGGACATGGACTCCCATCCCAGGGCCACGACGGTAAGGAAAGTTTTCAGGACTATATTTTTCACATAATACTTGCATAAAACTTCTTCCACTAGGTTGGTCCATCTCTCTTYCCTAAATTCTACAAGAAACCAAGAAATCATCAAAATTATTTATTTACTCATATAAGAAATATTTACTGAGAACCAATTATTTATCAAGCACTAAAGTAGGCATAGCAGACATAGAAGATATGGTCACTGCCCCCAGGAAATTACACTGTGGTAAGATCTTATGATTTAAGGAAGTTACATATGCAAACAAATGACAGCAACATAGCTCAGCATATGATATTTGCAAAATAATAAAAACTATTCCAAGATTAAGAAGAGGGGTGATCATTTCCAATCAAGGATAACAAGGCTTTGCACTAGTGCATAGAGTTCATGCAGTAAGTAACTGGAAAAAGGACTAAAAGAAGAGGTATAGGTTAAACATGAGGCTAAATAATTTGGATGAAGCTTTTATTATCTGACCCTTGAAATTCATTTTCCTTTTCTTCCACAGTAATAGAAATTTTACATATGTACACCATATATATATGTATGTATATATATATATATATATATATAGGCTATTTGTATTTAGAAATAAATATATGTCTAGGTTCTAGCTGATTGGAATAGAAATAAGGTCTAGCTGATTGGGATAGAAATAAAATATTCTGTGGCAACGTCCAGCAATCATCCTTAAAAGACAGCCAAAGTATTCTATTTGACTTCCTTCTTTGTGTCGTCCTTCATTCTACTTAATAGAAAACAGATGCCACCTTGGACCATGAACCAAGTAATATGTCCTAATGGAGGAGGAGGAGCAATTGCTAAAAGGGGCCTTAATTCTGGAGGTCTTCCTGGGACTGAACTGTCATATAGGTATATATCTCTAGAAATTTCAGAAAATAAATAACCTATTTTATTTAATCCACTGTTCTTTTCTTTCATTCTTTTTTCTTTCTTTCTTTTTTTTTTTTTTTTTGGTTACTTACCACCCGGCCTAAGAAATGACTAATATAGAATGTCATTTCTTTTTGTTCTGAGTTTAGGTAGAAGATTTTCTACTTAACCTCAGCTGAGGGTCCAAAGAATCAATAACTCCAGCACTTTCTCTATACTCCTCCATGTGTTAAAAGAGATAGTACATGCTAACAGCCTGATAACATATTATCAGGAGCTAGCCTATGCTTATATCATACATCAACCAAAATATTGGCAACTACACTTAACCTCTCTAACGCTAACTATCAGTTATCACACTACTTTTTAAAAATTAAAACAATCAGACATAGCAGCACAATTCACAATAGCTAGATTGTGGAACCAACTTAGATGCCCTTCAATAGATGAATGGATTAAAAAGTGGCATTTATACAAAATGGAGTATTACTCAGCACTAAAAAATGACAAAATCATGGAATTTGCAGGGAAATGGATGGCATTAGAGCAGATTATGCTAAGTGAAGCTAGCCAATCCCTAAAAAACAAATGCCAAATGTCTTCTTTGATATAAGGAGAGCAACTAAAAACAGAGCAGGGAGGAAGAGTATGAGAAGAAGATTAACATTAAACAGGGTCGAGAGGTGGGAGGGAAAGGGAGAGAGAAGGGAAATTGCATGGAAATGGAAGGAGACCCTCATTGTTATACAAAATTACATATAAGAGGATGTGAGGGGAAAGGGAAAAAATCAAGGGAGAGCAATGAATTACAGTAGATGGGGTAGAGAGAGAAGATGGGAGGGGAGGGGAGGGGAGGGGAGGGGGGATAGTAGAGGATAGGAAAGATAGCAGAATACAACAGTCACTAGTATGGCAATATGTAAAAATGTGGACGTGTAACCGATGTGATTCTGCAATCTGTATACGGGGTAAAAATGGGAGTTCATAACTCACTTGAATCAAATGTATGAAATATGATATGTCAAGAGCTTTGTAATGTTTTGAACAACCAATAAAAAAATAAACTACTAAGCTATCTTCTAAAAAATAAATAAGTAAATCAGAAAAAGAGAGGAGGACAGAAACTACTCAAAGAAAGGATATCATGAAAGAAGGCAGAGAATGTACAAAGGCATATGTAAGTAACCTCAAGAGATCCAGTGTTGCCAAAGCAGCATGACCATAAAGGACATCATCTAAACAGGAACCCCAAAGGAGAGCTTGTGTGCCACATTAAGAAGCAGAGCTTTATCCTATGGAAAGAAGAAGAAATTAGGTTTTTRGGAAGGGAAGACAATTATCAATTGTTTTATTGAAAACTCACCCTAGCAATTATACAGTTGATGGATATGAGGGAAATGAGTGAAGGCAGGAAGAAGAGTTAGGAAGATGCTACAAGAATACAAGAGCAGGATAATAAGGACCTCAAAAGCCAGAGTGGGGGAAGAATTAGAAAATAGTGGCAGATTCAAAATGACTTAGAAAGCAAGCTTTTCAGGAACTGTAGGGGCTGAGAGAGAAGGGGAGTCTAAGCTGGTTTCCAGTACAGGTGACCAGGTGACTACATTACCTTTAACTAGTACTATTAGTCAAAAAAATATGATCAAAGTCAGTGTTAAGGGGCAAAATTATGGATTCCAATTTACTCATATTCAATTAGAGACGACGCTTGTGGAATATTCTGGAAAACAGTCTAAATTTGAATGAGAAATGTTAGCCAAAGATGAAGATTTGTACATCATCAGAATATAGGAAGTACTCTGAATAAGAACAGTAGGACAAGAGAATATGGGAATCAATGATATTTAAAGGACACGCAGAAGCAGCAAAGTCATGAAGAAAAAGAAAAGGAACAACAGAAGAGCAGCATATACAGCCAATATTTTGAGGACTTTAATGAGAAAAGGAGAAGGAAGACGGGATAGTAAGCTTGGCAGGCATAAAATAGAGGAGGGAATCAGACACAACTGTCACAAGTTTTCTCTCAAAATAGGAGAGACCTGAACATTGTTATAGATTTCAAGAGTGGCTTACAGAGAGACTAAGAATGACTACAGATACTTTTCCCTGGAAGAAACCAACAGGAATGAACATTTAAAAGTTTCTCAGAGAATGGTTTGATACCAGTCAGATATTCTTCAAATTGTTTACCATTACTGGAGACAGATTTACTTCACTATGGATGCACTGGTTTACTTGTACTTGCATAGTTTAATTATACTGAACACTAGGTATTTCTCATGTTATCATCCTAACTCCAACTTTAAATTATAAAGGGGAGTGAAACTGTGCAATTCTATTTCTTTCAGTATCGATTCATAGCATCAGATGCAGCATACTATGCATAGTAAGAGCTGATGAATGCTGAGTTATTAAAATCACTTGCCTCCAGGGTGCCAAATGAAAAAGCAGAGAATTCAGGATGGGGAGCAGATTTAAACCCCACTCAGATTTCATTACTTAATAGTTTTGTATCATCAAGCAAGTCAAGTATTTCTCTCTGAGATTCAAACATCTATATCTATAAAATATTAACGTCTACACTAGTCATATWACAGGGTTGGTGTGGAGCCCTAAAATATATAAATACATTATTTGGATTAAAGGGCTATTGTAAAGCTCTAAATACAAATGCTATTAATTTTAATAGAAAATTATGGTAAAGTAGAAAGCATATGGACATAGGAAACTTATGTTCTCTCACTAGCTGGGTACATTTACGCTAATTAGCTAACCTTTCTACTTTATCTTTTTCTCCCATGGATGGTCTCAACCTTCCCTTCAGATTTGCCACAAGAATTTTTTAAAAAGCATGAGTTAATATAGTCATTAAGTTTGGCATATCTCTTAGACCACTATCAAGACCACTCCCACAACAACTGTGTGAAATCAGTTCTCAAATAGTTAGAACACAATGGATGCTCATGGAGCATGTGTCCATTCACTGAACAAAGTTTCATCTCTATAACTTACCAAAGATTAGACTATAGAATACATTTCATAATTGAGTATATCACAAGTCACCTTGAAAATACAGGACTGTTTTCTGTTTAAAAATCTTCATTTGTAAGCTTAGGGGTAGAGACAATTGGAGTGCCAGATAGTTATTTCTATCTACATCTACATTCGCATAGGAGCGCTCTCTATCCTAATACTCATGGTGTCAACTTTTGAGCTTGGGTTGTGTTCATCTTATGCTTTGGGAACCTTCAGGCTGATCTTTTAAAAAGTAAACATATCACCACCAACAGCAGACAACATAAAGCATATCTTATGCCACTTGGAACAAGCACCAGAGCTCTTATCAAAGGCCTTGTCTCAAGTTGAATGCCACAGAATCTGTACAAATTGTTTAACAAAAACATCAAAGAAGTTACATTGCTATCTTTCATACAATTGGCAATTCAAAAAGAATTTTTAAAAAACGTGTGGGGAAGGTGAACTCTATCAAAATAATGGTCACTGTGTTTAAGTAGCATCTATTATCTGTAGAATTCAGAACCACTGCACTACATAATTCAAGGGCAATAGTCTTAAACACAATTGAATTATAGACAAATTGAGAGTCTACAATGTGGCATGGGCGGCTGAGGCATGAGGATCAAGAGTTCAAAGCCAGTCTCAGCAACTTAATCAGGCCCTAAGCAACTTACGAGACCCTGTCTCTAAATAAAATATTTTTAAAAGGGCTGGGGATGTGGCTCAGTGATTAAACACCACTGGGTTCAATCAAGCAAGCATGGGTACTTAAAATTTTTTTTCCCTCATGGCAGAAAACAAAACATCCAGCCCCATACTTGAATAATTCTTCCAAATAGCCTGGATTTTTTTTTAATTATTATTCTTAAGACTGAAGAGTGACACCAGGTGCCTTCGCTGGTTCTTTTCCAGAATACTCTACTGCACTAGTTTTCCTGTAATAAAGATGATGCAGTCTTAGATAGATGGATTTTGAATTAGAATTTATGGCTGCAAAATAGATTGGTAATATAAATCTAATCTATCTTTTGGGGCAGTTTGAAGAGGAACAATAGGTGGGGAAGGAGGGCTGAAAACCAAGAAGACTGAAAAATAAGGAAATATAGGGTAGAAAAAATCCTTTAACCAGAGCCTTTTAAAAGTTTTTTTAGGTATAGGGGATAATCTATGACTTTTTGGAAATAGCAGGTGTCAAATTTCATCAGTCTACCTCTATAGTTGGCAGAGTTCTAATGCATTTGTAAAATGTTCTGAATTGGTGCTTAAAGCCAAGGAGCCAGGAATCTTGGGTGATGCTGCTTGGTTCCATTAACAAAATGTGGAGTGTGCCTGTGAAAATCTCAAATCCATTGTGTCTCAAGATCCTGACTATAATATCCTCTTGTAAAGTGCTTGGAAAAAATCAGGATAAAGTACAAATTGGAGGATAAGGTGCTCAGGGCACTTTTGCCAGGTGGATAAATATCAGAACAGAACATTCAGCTTCCTAAGTACCCTCAATTGCTATCAAACAATTTATATTTTATGTTCCCACTAAAAGGGTAGATCAAAATTAGTATGATACTCAACACAAMTGAAAACAGAAATAGGCCACGTCTGGACACTAACACTGGAAGATATACTAGATCCAACCTCGTGGTCTCATGCAACATCAACATTTCACAAGGAAACAATGTGCAGTAGTGTATTTCATAAAGTATAAATACTACCAGCCTCACAACTCCCAAGAGATATAAATACTATGCCACAGAATGCCAAAATATAAATTTTAAATCTTATAAAAATAGATTTACCGGATTGTATATATAGCTAGACTATCTCCAGAGTGAAAAAATAGAAATGAGTAAAAGTAGTACCAACAGCTGACTCCAGAGAAAAGAAATGAAAAAGAAGGGTAGAAAGATTCACTTTTCAATGTCTACCCTTTGAAATCTTGAACTCACCATATTCAAAACTCGTCTTTTCACAATGGAAAATATTGTAATGTATCTGGAAATACCATAATATTTTGTTACACAATTTTTTATTTCCTCATTATTGTAAAGTTTTTATGCAAACAATTCCAACTTGGAATTTTTGTATGTAGAATATACAACATTATAAAAATTTTTAAAGGAACTGGGGAGGAAGAAAGTAGAAAATAAAATGGATGGCCAAACAGAGATAATTTTGTAAAACAGAATGAGGAAAGTAAAAGCAAGCAGAAACAAAACACACCCAAGCCTCAAAACCAAACTAGAATGAAACTAAGAGGAARGGCTGAGATGAATAGGGAAGATTCTGTGTTCTGCTATTCTCCACCATGGCTTTAACAAGGACAAAGCAAAAGCTCCATTATCGATTGTACACAAAGAGCTGGAAGAACACCCTCAGGCTGCAGTTTGCCTTTGCAAACCAAGTTAAATGTGTCAACAAAAGCTACCCAATTTTATCCAAATTTTTCTGTCTATAGTCACATCAAGAGGCGTGATGCCTTAAGAGGTTCAGGCCTTGGATCACCTCAGACTGTGGAGACGAACGAAGAACAGAGCTGGTCTTCAAGCATCAGGAAGCCATTCTGCAGATTTCAATACACTAGAAGAGTAGACAGTTGGGAACTGATTTACAATTTGGAAAAGAAACAACAATAATTCAAACGTCATTAATTTAGGATGAGGCTAAATCTTCAAAAGAGTATTCATWGTTTCTATAAAAGGAAAATATTCTCAAGCAGTTTAATATTACTTTCAGTTTCATTTACATACAAAGAATCAATCTTATCTATTCATCAGAGTAGGGTGAAAAAAATTACACTCAAAAAGCTGCCTGCCAATGTTTTGCCAATAGTATTTGTAAACAAAACAGGTTAAACATTTTGTCTATAGGCTCCACAATTTCACCTTTAGGTTCCTTTGTTGAGATGATATTTCATGTCAGTGATTTTTTTTTTCTGTACTTAGGTGTCTGTYTCCTTCACAAAACAATCTGAGAATGAGATTATTTACTAATTGTTTAATAAAAAATATAGTCAATAAATACATTTAGTATTATATATCTGCCATTTCTTTCTGTATTTTACCAACTGATCCCAATTTGGCTTATTCGCCCATTCATTTATGTACAAAATATGTGATCTCACAGAGCTTACTTCAGCTGAACAAGCATGTACCAGATGCTGAATCTCTGTCAAACACTGTGCTAACCCTGAAGAAAGGGAGAATGAATAAAATCCAAACCCTGTCCTCAGGACATCAACAATCTAGAAGGAAATATACCAGATGATACATACCTAAAATATAAAATATGATTAAACTTTTGGAAACATGATGAATTAAGTAAGTAAATCCTGAGGCTCTGTAAAAGATGAATATTAAATTACAGGGTGGGAAGAACATTCAGGCACAGGAGACAATGGTACATGAAGGCACAAGAGATCTAAAAGATGGGTCATCAATAGTAGCTAACGCATAAAATACATATGTTGGCCCATTGGGGAGGCAGGAGATTCAATGGTAGAGGTAATAGGGCTGGGGATATAGCTCAGTTGGCAGAGTGCTTTCCTTGTATGCACATAGGCCTTGGGTTCAAACCCCAGTACCACCAAAAAATAAAAAATAAAAAGGTAGAGGTAACAGCAATCAGATCATAACCAACCTTATTCGGGCTGAAATAAAAGTAAGAAAATGTTTGATAGATCACTATGATTGTAGTGCAAGGATGGAGATTACTGATMTTTATATGCAGAATACAGAGAAGTAAAAATTATGAGAATTTTAAAATCCCTGAAGGATAGGGCAATTAGGAGTTTGTTCATCTTAGKAGAAGCAGTTTCAGTAAGTCAAGGTGGTAGAAACCACAGTAGAGGGAGTTAAAGAAATAAATAAGTGCAGACAATGAATGAGTATGAACTAAATTTTGAGAGGCTTAGATGAAAGTGGAAGAGTGGGGAGAGCTTATACAGGAAAACCAAGGGTTAAGAGTTTTAAGGACAAAAGAGGATATAGGCTAAATCTGGGGTGAGACTGGGGGTCAAGGGAGACTGGAAATAATTAACAAAACAAAACCTGAGGAGGAATATCACCTGCATATCTTCAAAGAATCTCTTAGGATTACTAACTTTCCTGTCTTTCTGTTTTTTGTTTGTTTGTTTTGGTGTGTGGGGAGAGAAATTTGTTTTTTTCTTTTGTTTTAGCCCATTTAACTTTCATTTTCTAGACTCCTCTTTTAACCTCATCCAAAGAAACCTTTATTTTTGAATGATTCCCTATTGGACCCAAACCCTGAAAGATACTTGTACATTTAGGTATTTGGAATTTTTGTTTTCTAAATAAGCATTGCTGATCCTCAGCATAAGTGTATCCCCAATAAAGCAGAATAACTCAGGAAAAGTATATGTTATATATTTTCCCTCCAAGAAAGGTTAAATAAATCAATATATAAAGTTCTGTTAATCAACTGCTTTCTAAGTATTTGCTTTTAAAAAATACAACATCCAATGAGTTTTCAAAAATTTCCAAGTGAATATATGCAAGCAATAACTACAGCAAAACCTGTAACCCCCATCAGGTAGTATCCCTTTTTATTAGCTAAGGATATAAATAAGTGTTACCAACAGCTTTCATGTCTAAAGCATATTTAGAGCCACAGCTATACCCGGAGACATCAGTGACAGATTTAGAAAGGTCACTGAGCATGAGGAAGCACCTTATGGTGTATACCCTTCCAAATCACTCTTTCCAGGCTATGTAGATACACTTAATTTTATACAGATTGTTGTTTTTAGATATATARTTTTATCATCTGTTTTTTCCTATACAGCTTGTGACAAACCTGCACATTAATAACTATCCACCGGGCTGGGGATGTGGCTCAAGCSGTAGCGCGCTCGCCTGGCATGCGTGCGGCCCGGGTTCGATCCTCAGCACCACATACAAACAACAATGTTGTGTCCGCCAATAACTAAAAAATAAATATTAAAAAAAAAATTCTCTCTCTCTCTCTCCCTCTATCACTCTCTCTTTAAAAAAAAAAAACTATCCACCTATTTTGAAAGTTTGTAAAGTAYTTCATTAGTAAGCTGAATTATGTATTATAAAGAACCTGCAATTCTATTTCAGTTACTGCCCTTGAGCATTACATAATGTATCCAAGTGGATGTCTCCTTTAGGTAAGAAGGAAAACAAAATCTTTTGAAACTATTCTGTATGATTATAGTTAGCCAATTCACTAACTTAACTTTTAGCATTCCAAGTGCAAAACAAGTCTAGCTGATAAAATTCATTATCATAACACACCAGGCCACCATGATTTCACCCTAAGGACCACCCTGTTTCTCAAAGTCTCTTTCTCAACTGTATACTACATGGCATTTAAGTGTAATAATGTTGCACATCAACTTTTCCTGGTAGAAAATTAAAAGTAATTTAAAAAACCAACACTTCAGATGAAATGTGAGTTCAGACTCTTCCTGATCATTCTTATTGATCGGAGACTACTACTATCTTATTCCTACCATGGCACCATACTTCTTGAAAGTATCAAAAACAGTGGAGTTTCTACCCAAAATTCTTAATTTCATTGCATTAATGGCATCATCAGTGACAAATATAGCCTCAGAGCTGTCAATGACTTCTAGTAAAGAATTATACTACATTTAAGGCACATTGAACACTGGACAAAGAGACAAAGATTTCTCATCTACAATTGCACATTAGCAAATTCAGCTACTCCCAAGCTCGCAGTCCACTGTACAAAAACAGAGCACCTGAAATTCTAATCTAAAGGCTTCAACCCAAGACCTTAATTATTTTATTAGAAATTTGAGAAAAAAAGTTAAATACTGCTATTTATACTGAAGTRTTTCTTTGTGTGAAAATGTTTCTAAACACATATGATTTTCATTGTCCAAAATTGTTGTCTTAAGCCAATTGTCCATATCCCTGCTAAATTAGGGATTCTGAAATATAGAGCAAAAACACAKAGCAGACACAACAATCACAACAAAAATGACTTAACATTCACAACACCCTTTACTTCAACAGCTTCCCCCAACCCACACTCAACTCCTTCATAAATTAACATTTACTCCTACCTTTCTATCTGGCCCAGATTTGATTTGGAAAAATTCCAAGGCTTTGTTGTTTTACTTATGCAAAGCAGAATTAGACACATTTACTCTTGAAGTGATGTTTCCAAACCAAGTATCTCCACCTTGAGATTAACAATCATTTTAAAGCCTAGTCATTTTCCACAACCACTCTCTTAAAGAGACAAACTGCCTGTTTACAGGAGAGGAAACTGAGGGCACTTGCTCAGTTTTCTATGGCCCAATCAGCATGCTATTTTATGCTCTCCACATCTCTAATCTGTTTAGTCCTGCTGTTTTTATTAAAAATGAAACATTTCAGGCTGGGGATATAGCTCAGTTGGCAAAGTGTTTGCTTTCCAAGCACAAGGCCCTGGGTTCAATCCCCAGCACCACAAAAACAAACAAAAATTTCATACCAACAGCATATAGACCACCATAAATTCTAGAAGTATAACTTATTAAAATGTATAAAAATCATTATAGCCAAAAAACTAAGAAGCATTTCTACTGCCTAATCTAGTTACAAAAGGGGGGGGGAAATTATTCTCAACTTTTTTTGTCTTTCCACAAGGCAATGAATTTTTTTTTCTTAAATGGGATTAGGTTTCATCAGAAGAAAACTACATGTACATTTTCTTTCAGCTGTGAACACGCAAGTTTAAGGTCATTATCTAGCTGTTTACAGAATGGATTACCCTACTATCTCTGCTCTACAGAAGCCACCATGTTAAGGCAAGTCTCATTAGCAACAAACTATTAGTTTATCAYTCTGCTTTCTAGAGGTGATTACCAACCACTCTAGCTAATAACCAGGGATTCCAGATGTTAAAACATCAGTTATGCAGAAAGGCTATGAAAGTTTACACATAAAAAAAAGTTACTAATCCCTTCCACATTTACTGCTAATGGCATAATATGCCCAACAGTAATAAGTGCKGATTCTGGATCTAAAATGTCTGGAAGTAAATCCTGACTGATTCCACTACTGTGTGTGACAGTGGGTAAGTTACTGAAGTTTTTCAGGTCTCCATTTCCTCATCCACAGGAAGGGTAATGAATGGTTCCTAACTGGAGAATGAAAGGAGAAAATATAGGCAAAAAGTATTTAGCACAAGAAAGCACAGAATACTAGTTTACTGTTACATCTACTAACCCTATTATTACTACCATCAATATCCAATGAATATAGCAGCTGAATGTAGGGTGAGAAGACTTGTGGTTTTTGTTAAATAGATTTGGTCTCATTTGTTTTAAGGGCCTGGGACTATGCTAATTAATGCCAACTTAATGAGTCATCACAAAATAAAATATCTGATATTTATGGCATGCCTCCTTACATAGAAGATCTCACCAGTATCTCTCTGCTTATCTGAATTTTATGTATACTGCAACATCCCATTCAAAATATACTTGAGAGATGAGACTTTTTCAGATACCTCTTGCCTTAAAGATGTTTCCTTTTAGCTGAGCTCATGGTAGCTACTACCTAAAATATTCAGTGGGCAAA